TTAAGCTTTCTTTGGTTGCAGCCACCAGTGCAGGGACTGCTCTACACTTTCACAGGACGATAGTCATGCGAGTACACCTCAAGCTTCTCGGAACGGACAGCTCAGGAAAGTGTTATGTATAGTGCTTACAAATTTAAGAACACTTCTTTTAGTGTATCCAAAAATTTCGGTAATGCTGTTCGTGAAAAACGACGGCTCCTTTGGAATTATGCGAGGAAAGGGAGAGACAGCAAAGGATTGCCATTGCACCTTAACTATGACACGCTTGTAATCAACGGAAAGACGTTCATGTGGGACAGTGAAATGAACCGACCCATCCCGCTTCATGTACGTGCACGATCTCAAGAACTGGGAGAATTGAGACTTCAAACGTGTGCAGGCGCATACCCCTGCTTCTTTTGAACTGTCGAAATATTAATAAAGTTGACGTGTTTGTGTCCATTGTGGCGACTACTCAAGCAAAAATTATCATGGGTACAGAATCTTGACTGGACAATGTGATACTTGATACTGAGATCTTCTCACATGGTTTCACTACTTACAGGAAAGATAGAAATCACCATGGCGGGGGAATATTTATTTTTGTTGTGAACGAGCGGACTAGTGAGGAAATTTCTTTCCATAATAAGGCTGAAGTAGTTTGGTGCCGCGTTTGCTTACTAAAGGGCAATACTGTTGTGTTTGGTTGTTTCTATCATACACCAGAAGGTAGTGATACTTCTATGACACTGCTTTCTGAGATGGTGCAGTTAATTCCAGACATAGTACTCCTGAGTGGGGATTTCAACTTACTAGATTTTGACTGGATAACCAGTGGTACACACAGAAGGTCGTCAGTGTATACTTTGTTCGATGAATTCTTAAGTTTTTGATTTTTGTCAATATGTGAATGTTCCCACGAGACATAATGTCATTCTGGATTTAATCTTATGTAATGACCCAAATATTGTTTCCACTTCGTTGAAAATTCCTGGTAAAAGTGACCATAAGGCCATTGTGGCAGATTTAAATATAAAGCACGATCAAGTAGCACAGAGAATACCACAAACATTTTCCTATATGAACATGGTGACTAAGATTGTTTCTGTAGAATTACAGCTGTATTACCCGACATTCTTGCTACTGACACAAAGCCATTGCTCTTTAGCGCTGTGGTCTTCTTTTTGTAATAAGCTACTGAACACAGTTGAAGCTCATGTACCAAACAGAATACTAATGAAGAGAACAAAACAAAAACCTTAGCTTAATGGCAACATCTGCAGGTTAATCAAAAAACATGGAGTTCATACAGAAAATATCGCTAAAGGAGTACCACATCTAATGAACAAGAGCTGAGGAATGCAAACCTGATGCTAATATTAGCAATAAAAACAAGAAAGAATTTTTTTCCCCCAGCTAAGTAATAGGTTAAACTGGAACCCTAAGGAGTTCTAGAAGTACTTGAAACAAAGTGGAAAAGACAATATGAGCATTCCTGCTCTGACAATGCAGGGTAATACTTTATGCACCAATGAAGAAAAAGCTGAAGCTTCTAACAAATACAGTAAAAGCTCGTTAACTCAGATCTCACGGGACCGGAAAAAATGTCTGAGTCAACCGAATTCCGGATAATCGAATGAACCATCAAAACAAAAGGAAAATCTACTTGGCACAGACAAACTTTATCTCATGAAAAACTGAGTGAACCTAGTCTGCCTCATCATCAAAATTAGTGCTATAATGATCTTCTTCGACCCCATGTGGTGGTGGTGTGCACGCTCGCTGTCACGAGAACTGATACAGAACTCCGCAAGGACAGCGAGAGCTTCGGCGGCTTCCTGCACGGTGCGATGTCGTGTCGGCTCATCTTGAATGTCATCATTGTAACAGTGATTCTGATCCTCTTCAAGTACTTCCGATAATATGCCATCATCAGTTAGCAAACCAGCAATGACCACACCATCATCAACGTGCACAAACACAGCCTGAGAACGTAATGACGGTTTCTATGTCAGAGCACGAACTCACCCAACAGCCAACTCTTTTGATGTACCTGAGCTGCACATGCAATGCGTGAAGTCACTACGCAAAGAAATCAGCAGCGTAGGCGTCGCGGGCAACTGGGATAGCGGCGGCTGCGCAAACTATCCCGTGCGGCGCCATGTACAGCACATTTCGCAGACACTGGATGAACTGGCGGCCTAAGCACTTCCGCCCAGTGGTGACTAGCGCCACCAGGCCTCTTTCCCCCTAATTCCCTATCATCATGACCATATTCTGCTGCTGTTCATTCGGTTTCGGTTTCTCCAAAACTTTGGCCGTCACCGGCGACGGAGCCGGGACTTTATGCTTTCAGTAACCGGAATCGGAAACCGAAAGCATGAAGGCCCGACAGCCCTCTCTGGAATCGTCCGAGTTAACCAGTGCGCGTCTAAATCCCTTCGAATTAGTGAGCATTTGACACCACAGAAATATACACAGTTCTGCCGGGACCGTGCCGCATGTCTGAGTTAACAGAATTTTCAAGTTAACGGGATTCGGATAAACGAGCTTTTACTGTATTTTTAGTCGGTTCTTACTCAAAGCATGCCTGGCGATGTTCAGGCACTTCCGGTCACGTAGCCTTCCATGAAAAACGTAGAGATTGACATTACTGGTGTTGATTGCTCGTTACGGCCGATAGATACAATGAAAGCAGTTGGACCAGATGGCTTATCACGATTTCTTCTTAAAACCTGCACAGCATCGTTGCACAATATTTATGCATAATATATGAAACTACACTGAATACTGGAGTAGTTCCACATGACTGGAAAGTTGCAAATGTCATCTCGGTTCATATATTGGGTGCAAAGCTCATCAAAAATTACAGGCCCATCTTGCTAACAGCAATTTGTTGTAAGTTATTTGAGCACATAATATACAGTGAAACAGTTAAATACCTGGAGTCACAATCAACTTCACTCCATCTTCGCATGGTTTCAAAAATGGACGTTCATGCATAACTCAACAAGTCGATATTCAGCATTACATTGCGCAATCCTTAGACAGTAGTGCTCAAGTAGATGCAGTATTGCTTGATTTCCGTAAAACCTTCGATACCGTCCCACACAACCTGTTAGAATTTTCAATGCTCTCTGCAAACATACACCTTAAAGTTGGATAAAAGACTACTTAAACGGTCGACAGCAGAGCGTAGTGCATAACGGCTCAAAATCATCCACAGAAACCGTTACGTCCGGTGTACCACAAGGAAATGTATTAAGACTTTTGCTTTTCCTGATTTATATTAATACCATAGTTGATGATATTACCTCTCCCAATAAGTTATTCGCAGTAGAGTGTTAGAGAGATTAAATTGCACAAGGATGCTGAAATTCTGCAACATGATTTGTGCTGAGTATCAGCGTGGTGTCAGAAATGAAAAACGAGTCTAAACCACTGTAAATGTTGCTCTGTATCATTCACCAACTGTATATATAAACTAGACACAACGTAAAAAATCAATCAATTCGAAAATTAGCAATGAATCTTATTAAAGTATTTGGGCATTCATTTTTTCGATAATTTCAAGTGGAATAAACATATTGATATAACCGGGACAAATGCAGGCAGGATGCTATACTTAATACGCAGAAATTTTTCAGCAAGCTTCACAGAACGTGAAACAAACCCTTTATCTCATGTATGTGAGACTTATTTCAGACTATGCTTGTGTAATATGGGATCCCCATCAGCAATACTCGATTGACACACTAGAAAAATTTCAAAACCAAGCAGCGAGATTTGTTAGCAACAACTATAGTTCTTTTGCAAGCATCACAGAAATGAAACAAACATTGAAAATGGGAGCCACTGGTGGTAAGGAGGCAGAAACAGCAGCTTAAATTTCTTCACTGTATTTATTAGAATGAAAATGCCATTAACCCTCTTGTTTATCTGTTTGCACCAACGTATGTCTCAAATCGATGAGACCATTCACGAAAAATATTATAATGCCTCTAAAAAACCCACTTTATGGTAGTTCTTTTTTCGTAAAAACAATACAAGAATGAAACCGTCTACCGAATGATATCGTTCATAAAACTGATAATGAATCCTCTTTTTCTTCGCTGTAACAACGCCCAAAATATCACTGCCAATAAAAATGGTTTGTTGTCTCGAAGCGTTTGGTTGTTTAAAATGTTATGACCGTGATGTTTATAATTTGTATAGTTAACCATTATTCAAGCATTTTCTCTGAAATATCTTGAGTATTGTTGTATTTATTGTATCTATTGCAAACTATGTTGTGAAATTACTCAAGTGTACCTCCCTTACATAATGCCTTATGGCAATGCAGTTGAAATGTAAATAAATAAATAAAATCAAGAGGCAAAATTTTTCAGGAACCCATATCACTCACAAATGCTTCAAAGTCAGCTTGAACTTGTTCCACTGAAGAGTACTTTTTGTAGCTGAAGTCCTAACACTGCCAGTTGCTAATACATTTATAAGAATAGAATCCATTCTCCGGTTATTTATACCAACCTCTTGGCACAAATTTACCAAAAATTTGCTAGTCTTCGAGATTCGAATCCTGGAAACAATGAGTGAAGAATATGAAGCAGTCAGAGGCCTTTCTGTGTGTTAAGTTTTGAATGCACCCTAATGGCACACCACTTTCTAATGATGTAACAAGATAGGCACCCGACCCTCAGTGTTTCATTCATTTTGTCAGAATCCTCTTTTACTGTTGTCTTCTGTAGAAAAAGAAACTTCCTGATGACATGGAGTTGAGAAGGTGAAAATTCTGTTTAGCCTAAAATATGGTTGGAACAATCTCTCGTGAAGGACATAAAATTATTAAACATGCACGAAAATCTGCATATGGTCACATCAAAGTACATTAAAAAATACATTATCATTATTACACACAATATAAAGGTTTCATCAGAACATCACGGTACCCTTGATTATAAAGGAGGACCGAATTAGCTCCCATCAATTACCTTTTGCCTTCAATATCATGGAGCACTCACCTGAACTCGAAGTGCTCCCCCCAGAAACAGAGCTGGGACTTGAGCTTGGCAGAGGTGCGAGCATATAGTGTTCCATCTAAACGCAGCTCACAGAAGTACCGTTTCTTTGGCGCCAAGCCCTTGGCCTCTAGTACCCAAAGTCGGAGAGAATTCTCAGTTCGGCGAATGGCATCCCTTTGTGGTTGAGCAGCCTGTCGCAGCCGCGCCAACCAGTGCAGGCACTGCTGCCGAGAGCGGCAGGCATATACACAAGCAGGGCCATCACGAGGTGCCAGCTCAAACCAATGCTCGCCTGCACCCCGCGGGGCAGGGCCCTACAAAGGTGACACACAAACAGGCTTAATTAACACAATAAATGGCCAATATAGCAGTCGCAGGAAGTTGCAATGATTACGGGGATACAACAGTAAGTTTTTAGAAAAAAATGCAAATGTAATAAGAATATATGCACTTTCACATGCTCCATACGAGTTTCTCATAGAACAAGTAGCTCTGAAAGTGCACAGGTACTGAGAAACAAAAAATCGTCACATAAAATATCTGTAATTGGAAGGCCAAGTTCACACATTTCTTTTTAGTGTGAATGCCACAAAGCTGTGTCAGAGACTCGGGGATTATCGATCACTGCATCACAGTTCATATTGAGTGCAGTGGTAAATGAAATCTAACAGTCTTGTTTCCCATTTCATCAACTGTAATAGCCCTCATATTATAAAAACTAGATGAAAGTATCAAATCTGTAGCCATGAAGTAAAACTATTTAGGACAGGAAATTCTCTCATAGTAGGGCGATTGCTTTCTGGTGGGGGGCTGGTTAAAAACCATTTAGGTTCAACCAAGGGATATAACAGAATATGCCCAAACAGAACTCAAAGAATCAGAGGAAAGTGTTCCCATCCCTGTGCTTTCACTGATTGTAAGTACGCTAAAATATAGCACACAAAAAAAGAGAGGGAGGGATGGAGCAGCAAACAATGTACACAAAAAAAATTACAGAAAAAAAGTTATTAGCCTTTTCAGGGTCCATGACATAAATGCACCGATGGAGCATCTTTAAATTTAAAAAAGAAAAATGTAACAATATTTCAAATTTTTGTCGTAAAAGTAGGAGGCTTTGAAAAATCTCCACTATAGTTTCAACGGGTTGTGTAGAAAAATTGTAAATGCAACGAAATATAAGTCCTTATAAACGACAGATCATTATATCAAGCATCGTTATAAATGGGTTCGACTGCATAGCAAATTAACAATTTTCTCACTTTTTGCCAAGCCCTTGCCATTGAGATTACACAGAGCATGCATGCATGAGTTAAGAAAACACATTCAATAGGCAAATGCCGTTCACTGTGAATCTCATTCACTATGCTGATGTAGCACCAACAAAAATGGCATCCACATGCAGTCACATTCGCTATAAATGACATTACATGTCCTGTGTAACAGGGCTGTTTATCCGAATTCCAATTTACATTTCAGTTACGTTCTAGTCTCTTCTGATCCCATTCACTGCTTTGTCTCTGCGGTGAAAACGCAACATTTTTGTTTTCATGGCTCAACTTACAAAGGCATTTCTGTACTAGGAAATACTAATGAAACACTCAACATAGGCAACATGGCAGCACAAACGGACAGTATGTTTTTGTTTTCACAATCATTGCACCAGAGCAGAAACCTTTGGAGCAGAAATGAAGAAATCATTATTAAAATGATATTGTTACAGCAGGTAGTAAAGTCTGCCCTTTGTGGCAATTTGTAACAAATGCAGCAGCAGTTTCACTACTGCAATTAGCAATAAATTGTTTTAAATATGCTATCATTACAGCAGTTTCACTATTACAAACCTATTTGCACTAATACGTGAAATTGAATATATAAGACAATGAGAGACTTCAACAAGCTAAGAGAGACAATTTGACTATCACCATAATAAAGTTAACTATGGGCACATAAACAACCATGGTCTTACTGTTCAAAACAGTTCAGAACTCAATTTACTAGACCTATTTACAAGGCATTTTACTACACCTATTTACTAAAACTCAATTTACTAGGCTTGAGTGCAGGTGAACAAAGAGTGAAAACAGGCCTCCACTATTTCCTACAAACAAACCTACCCAGGCCTGTCCCTGAGCGGGGTGGTTTCGGAGGCTTGGATGCAGAGGACCCAGCCTGGCACCCTCGAGGCCCCAGGGGCCCCCAGGTGACTGCAGCAGTGACTCGTGTGAGCGCGAACCACGAAGCCGCGGTGGTGGCGCCTCGGCTCGTCGCGCCCGCTCCAGCTTGCTCACACTCTTTGTGCGCTTCAAGGGATTCTGCTTCAAGGATCGCTTTGAGAAGAAGCTCTGTAAGGCAATTTGTATATATATAAAAAAAATATGCCCAAGAAAGAGGACACTCTGCATCCCCGTGGCACATCCCCGCACCGCGCGTCAGCCCATCTGCTAGTCTGTCTGTCCGTTCATCCATGTGTCCATCTAGTGAACATTCCAAGTACCGTTATCTCTCATCTCGCATCCCCTGCGGCAGCTACCTGCTCTAGAACGGGTATGTGCCACTGATGGCTACGTATGACCAACGGAGGAAGGACAGACCCACACCCTAAGGAGCTCCACCCCTAAGACCACCTTGTTATCGTTGTGTTTCCATAACTGTCAAGTTCGCTGCTTAGCTTTGCGAACGACAGCCAGAATTTCGCGAAAACAGTAGAGCTGGTAGACAAAGTTATTAAAGAAATACGCACAAAATACCTATTATGCCGGTCATAGACTCAAACCCGGGTACACTTCCCGTCTCACTGGCAAAAGAATCTCTCTTATGATCTCCACTTTATCACCCCAGAAATCAAACCAAACGGCACGACTCTCAAAAGGAGAAAAGGAAAAAGAGTGCGCTAGCATGTACACATCAGCATTGTTTTTTATGTGTCAGTACCTCCCCGTTAACAGTTCTAATTTTGTTCACACCAGTGGGCATTAAACGATCGAACAATAACCGGTGACCTAAAAGCCGAGTAACAACCTAGACAACAATTTGTAAGCAACAGACAGATGCCATCATCGCCATGAAATTGAGACTGCAAGAATGCGGTAGTTACTGCGACAGCATGAACAAACCGCGAGTGACGAACAAGCTTAAAAATTAAAGTCCAGGAAAAAAATTCATTGTATCCCCAAAGCGTGCCAGTACTTGCTTGCCCTGCTCGAACGAGTTGAAATATGCAGAAGTTTTTCCAACAGAAAGAGTACCCAAAACATACAGAGACTATTTGGGATCCGTTTGTCCCATCACATATCATATTTGACCCTTAACGGTTCAAAACCTTTCAGGGCGTCTTACAGACTCATTTCCTACCCCCTTCATACTAAATTCAGCGCACCAGAATGAAAAAAAAAACCTGGCCTCAACTGCAGCTGCACGCATACCTTCCACACACATGCTGTGATTCGCGCATGCCAGTTGGTTGCCAGACCATGGACAGTGTCGCCCACTAGGCAATATGGCGGTGACCACGCTAACAAGGTCTATACAGAGTCCCAAAACAACAACACCTTTCAATTTTTTTGTATGCTTCACTGCACAACACCATTGCATAGCAGCAGAGCTGTCTGATGTTCTCTTTTTTTTTCATGGAATGGCTTTAAAGCTTTTATTTTTTTTTGTTTTCTACGACATATGCACGTGAGCATGCTTTTTTCAAGCTCGCATACTTGAAGAGCAAACAGCTGAAAACAGGTTGGATGTGGCCGCAGACATAACTTATTGACAAGCTGTTAATATCTAGCTGGTGTGGCACTTCAGTTTGACCATGCTTTGCCAGGGAGAAACAAAAGACACCTATTACTTATGACAATAATGCATGCTGTGTTAAATTTTTTACTTCATTGCAATGGGTTCCTTTATCACTTCCACCTTCATAGAATAGAGAGGATTGCTCGAAATTCAGGACAGGTTAAATCGTTTGACTTGGCATACATGTCAATAGTTGCTCAATGTTTCCATTGACTACACCATTCCTTACGCAAACCTTCTGCTTTAATTGTTGAAGGTTTGCACACAGCAGCACTGCAACCATCAGAAACACAACTTTTCACCACGAAGCATACCCACGCCTTTTATGATAGACTTCATTGAATGATGCCCAAATTGTAGATGACCAACGTGACATTCATTTTTTTTTTTTGCTAAATTGAGTGCGACGAAAAAATTCTGAGGTTAGCCACAAGATTACAGCACAGTGTGGTGCTATTTCAAAATATTTTATAGTTTTGGTGAACCTTGACACAAAAATAAGGTATTGCATTAAATTGGTGCAATAAGCACAACTGTTGCCCCCTAATATGCCTTTGTGGTCTTTTCTTAGCCCTCCTAAGGCAAGACCAGGCAGAAACTGTAGGTTCAGAGAGGGCACCGAGAAGATAAATAGTCATTCATACGAACATACCCAACACCACTGCCTGCACATCACCTACAGTGACATAGCGACAATGCATTGTATGGCTCCATAACAAGAGCAAACAGAACAACGGCACAATAGAATGTGTTATGGTATGACAGCAGATCCCTTGCATATAGAAAAGATTACCTGATGCAGACGCTGACTGTAATTTAGTCATATACAAGAATAACAATAACATGAAACAAGAGGCATATAAATGAGGCTGAGAAAGAAACCAATATGTCTATTTCTAGCTCTGCACTAAAATACCATATATATGTGGGTGGGTGTGCAAGAAAGACTTTTTCAGAATTACAGTGGAAAGTGAAAATGGCTATCTAGGTACAACTTATAATTTGGGGAGACAAAATTGTGCATTCTGGCTGTATATGCATTGCTTATACACACAACAGTTGGGACGGCTTCTCACCACAATTCGCGACGGCGTGGCTGTAGCATCTGGCACCCGTGCCCCCAGAACGGGGGTGCTAGTGGCACTGCCCCCCTGCCGAACCTCGTCACTGCTACGCTCCTGGGCTGCCTCTGCAGAGACATCCACATGAGTACTTATCAGTAGGAGCAACAATAAAAAGAACATACTATAAAGGTGAAGTTGCTAACCAAATCTCTAATAACGGCTAAATTTTTTTAACAACCTAAACAGCTAAGTGTGGAGGCAGAAATTGAGCTATAACATACACTTTATAATTGATGCTTACACAGTAAATCTCTCAAATCTGGTCAATGTACTCATCTTAAAAAAGGGGGGGGGGGGGGGGAGTGAGGTGGTTTATTTTTTAGTACCACTTCTATCTATTTTTTGAAACTGCTGTATGCAGTTGAAAGCTGGCAACAACACATACACACACACAAAAAGCTCACATGCTTCCAGGAAGGAAATATGTAAAGAAAATATATGAAAAGGTGTGTGCTTATCAGTGCAAAAAAAAAAAAAAGAGGCAACACCTTAAGCAAAGGAAATTATACACCTGCACTTCCTTCCTGGAAGCACAACATGCCTGTAAACCAAAGCAGCACCTCCTTATACAGTAGCATCTAGTCTAAAAACATATTTTTGGGTGTCTGTCAATGTACATGTTATAATGCCGACATTAGCTTTAGAAATATGCAAACTTCCTTTGCAAACTTAGAACTACAACTTCACATGCAAGCTTAGAACTTTAGAACTACAAGTTCTAAAAACTTGTAATATATTGAAAATCACAAATGAACTGTTACACCTCCTCTTGAAGGTATCACAGTTCAAGACCAATCTCCAAAGTAAATGTCCACACCACCCCCTTTACACTGCAAAACATTTTCATAAAAATATATTCTCATGACTGTGATCGATTGAGCATACATAGTATGAAAGCACAAAAACATTGAACCCACAAAAAGAGTTGCCATTTTTCTTCTTTTAAGATCACGTTAAACATTTTACAACTGCTGACACTACAAATTCATACTACTTAGCCCTTTTCACAAGTCCATAGCAGACAATAAAACATCATGCTTTAGTATTTACAGGTACAGCAGTAGGCATAGCTCTTCCTTTTTTGAACTTCACCTCGCCCCCAAGAACATTCTTTAGTTTGTATGCAATATACAAACCCCCATAAAAAGCCACACACACAGCAACATAGGGAATAGACCCTCCGCTCAAAATAAGGCTAGCAGACACACTTGAATTCATCCTTCATAATATTTATTTTAAAGCTGCTACATATGCATGCGTACTGTGGAGATGGGATTTTCACCAAATAAGCAAAGTAGTATGACATGACCATTTACAGTGCTAAAGCTGCAAACAAGATAGAGAAAAAATGTGCATCCTATATTGCAACATAAAACCAGCAGCCTAAAATTCTCAAGGAAAATATTGTGTTCAATGATGCCATTATACATGCTCTGAATGGCTATCTAAGCAAGTTTAATGGCATTAGAAGTGTAATACCAGGTTAAAAACTAAGCACACATGCCATTCATAAATGGTACAGAACTTGTTCTCTTTTAATCCTGTAGTAAGGTTTAGCTTATCACCACTTTGGAATATGCTCAAAATTTGGGTGCACCCAGTGGTCAAAGACAACAACTTCTTTATCTCAGTCATTTTAAAACTTCCGTACACCCACATGACGGTAATTAAAGAATTGCATTGCAGACTTGGCATACGAACTCATCTTGAGACACACAATGCAGCTGACTTTAGTTTTGAAGGAGTCAATGATTCCTGTAAACTTAAGCATTCACACTGTTTCAAAACTTGCAAGCTGTAGAGCAACACAGCAGAAATAAAAACTATCCATTATTACAACCACCCCTGCAATCGTTATAACAGCATGACATCACATTTACCACAACAGTGCATGCACTTGGGTCTCGACTCCTCCCAACGCGATACGGTTGCATTCAATAAACAACGTGACGCGTTTAATGTACCACAAAACTTGTCTGCTGAAGTGGAATAAACGGCAATGCGAAAACGATATTTTAAAAGCAAAAGCAAAGTAGGAAAAGAGCATTCGACGCTTATGTAGAAACAACAAATGCACTACTGCATATTACAGAAAAAGGCACAGCTAAACCAACCAAAGTTGATAATACACTCACGCATTCATCAACAGCGAACAGAAACTACGGCGATGATTTGTACCCGTCTAGCCCGGTGGTTTGCAGACGACACGACAGTTGCAAGGCCCTGCTCAGTGAAATCGGGCGCAAAGACCTTGCCTCGTCCATAGAAGTAACTTTACGCCACAGCGACAAGCTCAAATGCCTGCGTGATGAAGACCACTTGGCACGATGCGAGGGTGGCCGAGACGAAACCATACAGTGGCCGCGAGAGAGGTCTGCGGATGCTCTTCGGTTCTAACTGAACAGTCACACGACAGTTTTTACGCGACGATCGCACGTAAAATGTACAATCGCTGGAAGCTTCTTACACCCCATTAAGGCCTCCTAAGGAAGTGTTGGCAATACGTTGGCTACGAAGGCGGGATGTCAGCAGCAGTGTAGGCGGTGGCGTCTATATTCGGTTTGAGGAAAGAAGCGAGAGAAAACGGCCCAGCGCGAGCGGCCGAGCGCGTCGGTCGAGGGAGGTCACGAGCGAGCAAGCGCGCTTCGTTGGCTTTGTCGCGCAATCTCATCGTGCCGCGATCGTGGCGAAGGGGAAACAAACGCAATCGGAAAATGACAATCGCTACAGTTGCTGATAATCCACGCAACGCGGCGTCATAACAGTCGGTAGCTTTCACTCATTCGCTAATTCAGCCCACGCAGCGATGTCACAACCTAAGCGGCGAGTACCGCTTTTGTTCACGTGCGAACCGTGTAAACGGCCACACGCAACGCGTTGGCAGACGACGAGCGGATGTGAGTGGCGGCTACGCCTCTAATAAACCGCCTCGGGGTTACGCTTTCACCTTGTTCTGGAGAGGCAAGGCAGTCGAGCGCCATCAACGGAGTGGTTATTCGGGGATCCCGTTTACACTCCCAGTGCCCTAGAGCAAAAACCAGCTGCCGACGACACGGTCCGGTCGACCTCCATCTACTTTCCAACAGTAGACGCCGCCATATTTGATGAGAGGAGGGAATGGGAAGAGGTTGCCTGCCCTACTTTTTGTTTTGCAACTTTTTGTCCCCTTCTCTTCGTTTTTTGTTTCCTGCAAGCAAAGTTTCATGACAGGCACGAACGTGGCAGCCCGCTGCAACTTCCACTGATTTCTTTGCGCGGCATACGGGCAATCAGAAGACGAAAACCCAAATATGAAAATTATAAATGCTAACGAGGGAAGCGGGAAATTAATGTGTAGATGGTCCCGGCAGTATGTGATGACGCTTCCACACGTTCGAATCATTTAGTACTAATAAGAGTGTGCGGGAGATGCGAATTACACGAGGCAGAAAAAAAAAAAAAACTTTACACGAGATCATTCCACTAGCGAGTCTCAAACGGGGTGGCACTAGTAATGTGCATGGAGTGTAGGGCTCTCTCAATGTGCGCCTTCTGCGTAAAACAATGTCAAGTCCTCTTGAACTTGAGAAAGACATGGGAAAGACCACTGAACAAATGACGACAGCCAAGACCTAGCCAATGACTTGTTTAGTGAAGCACAACCAGCAGTGTCCCTGCTCCTTGAGTGATGACCAAATGTGACCTTGCTTCTTTTTAATAGTACATTTTTCAAACTTATACTTCTTACGAAGTAAGAGTCCTGCTCGCCCCTCTCTCCCGACTCCGTGAGAGAAAACAATTCTGGTATTGCCCCTAGCAGAACACAACATGACTTTGCAACAATGACACGCAGTAGAAGAACCACGTGGACATGCTCCATTCAGCTGAATCGCTTTGAAAATGGGAACACTGGTACAGATAAAATCTAGGAAGCATTAAACATGTGAGGTTATCTAAGGCATTTAAGGGGTTGTGCCTCCTAACTCTAACTGCTGTAAAGAAAAGCTAGGATTACTATAAAGTGATACGGTGGACACTAAAAGAAACAAAACTTGCCTGAACAGAAAGACTGCATAAAATGAAAAACAGCATTAACTTTGGTTGGCTGCCTATTGACAAAATGCCAGCAAACTTGCGCCAAATGGAACCCATCTTTTTGTAAACTCAAATTTAGAGGAGCGGTAAATTATTGAACTGAAATTCCTATCTATGGTCAGTCCCAACCTAAGCTCTACTCATAGCATGAAGGAAGAAAAGAAGGGAGGGAGAATTACGTCACACGAGTAAAGCCTACCTTGTCGGCCCAACAAGTGATCAAAGCATCAGAGCTTGTGGTACGTTTTACTACTCTCGGTGCTGTTGCGTCTTTGAACCACCTGCGTGAGCCGGCCGGTCTGCGCCGAATTAGCGGGTTTTGATTAAAAGCTACCGAGCGCCGTACTCCGAAATATCGGCAAGTCTGGTTGCTGGCGTGATTTTGCGCAAAAGGTCATGTGTTGAGCTGACAATGCTGGCTTCAAAACGGTACGCCTTGCCAAGGCTGCCCGTATGACGTCACGCTCCCTCCTTTCTTTTTTTTTACTCCATGACCCATAGCTGCCATTGTCCCACCCAGGGAAAATTTGCATAGATGCACTATCTCGTTCCATTTACTGATTTCTCTGAGGCCGAACACCTTTTACATGTTTCAGGCAGGTTATTTTCTAACACAGATACATGTTGCTGGTTTTCGGATGAAAAATTTGAAGTTCCCAGAAAATTTCAGCAAAGATTCAGGTATCACTCCTCAGGGAAATGTAATCTTTTGAGCAAGGTGATGAATATTTAATCATTTATATAAACAGCTTTTACATTAGGAGTGAAAAAGTACTTATGGTTATAACAAAAATCCCTTAGCATGAATGCTGTGCCTAAATCAATGGTAGGCGCACTGTACGACTGGAGGTGGAGCTTGTATCTATTCTTGAATTATAATTGACTATACATCACTAGTTCATGGAAAAAACAAACAACAAACATATCAAATGGCAATGCCGTAAGTAATGAAAAAAGCAGTTTATGAGCCAGTTGTGGGAATGCCATGGCAAACAAAAGGTGTCCAAGAAGCAACAAAGTTTCCATCATGAAAACTTCACTACTGGCAAGTAGTGACTTTCAAAAAGGAAGCACTATATAGATGACACGATCTGGCAGTCAGGCTGTCAACGTTTTGTTCACACAGCAAGGAATGAGAGAACAGATATGGGTAGCTGTTTCAATGTGTGTGTGTTTTGGGCCAGACAACAAGAGCTGCAGATGAGAGTATGCAGTGCTATTTTGGACTGTAAAGAATTATTGGAAGTAATTTTATGCCTGAACACAATGCTGCCTAAATGAAGCTAGAGAAGTGTCTCTTTTCTTTCTTCAAGACGGTAATATCAAAATAATTGAACATCCTTCAATTAGAACAATTCTTGTACTCTTTGCTTAAGTAAAATTTTTAATAAACATCATAAAGAATACGTGGTAAAGAATCAACACAATAATGAAAAGAGGAGGCCCGCAACAAATCTTGAATTAAAACAAATACATGTTTCAGTTCCTTCAAGTTAATTTTAAGTGGAATCTACCCAGGTGAAAATGTGTAACTGGGAATCCAACTAGTATCAGCTGGTCCCAGTTGGGAACTAACTGGTCCCAGTTGATACCAGTTGTAACTGTACCAGTTCAACTTAACTGGTTTCAGTTAGCAACTGGTACCAGTTACAACTCAACTGGTCTCAGTTGATTACAGTTGTAACTGGTTCCAGTTAGCAGTTGGTCCCAGTTAAAACTCAACTGGCCACAAACAGGATGATCAATTGAACTGGAAGCAGCCATCTTCTCTAGTTTAGACGTCATTCCCTTCGCTTATTTATAACAATATAAACAGCCTCACCTGACTAGATGTGTATTTATTATCGTGGATTATTCTGTAGCACAAGTGCACTATACACAATGCACTAAAATGTTCAACTACGTTCAGTACATTAAACTAATATTGAATAGGAGCTTTTGTCAATCTTTTATGTCCACCGTGATCGATTGATCTTGGGGTGTGAATATTGCTGTTGCTTCGTTAGCAGGATGCCTACTTGATAGCATTGAGTGCAGCATTTGGATTACTTCCGTGCGGCAATATGGAGCATTGCCAAGAGCTACAACAGCTGACACCAAGCTGACACTCTGCCGACACAAACACGGTCCCCACAAGCACACCATCGCTACAGCGACAGACGTCACATTAGTTCCGTACCTCATGCGCTCAAACATTGGAATGTTGAAGCAGTAATCAAAGATAAGCATTATATATAAAATAAAATGAAATGAATTATTTTGGTCTAATTCCACATTATTTAATGCACAAAAGAAATCAGACAACAAACACAGAGAATTTTGGAATACAGCGCGATGTTAGTTTTGTACCGCACATCTTGCGAGGGCTAGCTACCGAGCGGTCGACGTGCTGCTGAGTTGTGCTGTTTTGGAGAAGGAACGTGAAGTCGTGACGTGCATAAATTAGATTTTGTTGATTTAGTGTTCGACAGTTTCATTTCTGTAAGACTATAACTTCAGGTGAATGCCAAACAAGACTCGTTTTCGCCTGTGACAAGACGGATACATAGATGCAATGTATGCGGAATGCTGCGCTACCTGCGCCTTGTCCACTAGGCAGCCGTTTGAAGGTGATTATATCACTTATATGCTTCAAGTGCTAGTTGCCTAGAATCCTAGAGAAGATGTAGATATAATGCAGCTAGCGCAGAATGTTTTGAGTGCTGAGACAATGAAACGTTTCATTGTAAAAATAAGATTGATATATAGGTTTAACATTCCAAAACCACCATTAGATTATGAAAGACGTCGTAGTGGAGGGCTCTGGAAATTTCGACCACCTGGGGTTCTTTAACCTCCACCTAAATCTGGGCACACGGGCCTACAGCATTTTCGCCTCCACTGAAAATGCAGCTGCCGCAGCCGGAATTCGATCCCGCGACCTGCGGGTCAGCAGCCTAGTACCTTAGCCACTACACCACCGCGGCGGGTCTGTAAACAAATGCTTTCGACACTGCTCTTTAATATTGTTACGGGGAAGATTTATTCACCGAGAGCTGGTCTTGCTAACGGCTCAAAGAGCGCACAGTCATGCAGGCCAATGGGAGAAGCTCGAGAGTCCAACCCACAACAACCACGTTGTCGTCTTCTTCATTTGGGTGCCAATTCAGCTGTGTCGGGGCGACAGTTCCATACACGTATCATCACCCCGGCCCGTAAGGCACCGTCTCGGTGCCTGGTAAATGAGCGAGTCGGCGTTGTAGGGCTTGAGACGAGAAACGTGGACTACTTCCGTTCTGGGTGCAGCAGCTGATGGGTTTGTGGTAGCGGAAATCTCGTAGGTCACAGGTGTGACCTGACGAATGACTCGGTAGGGCCCAGCATATCGCGATAGTAGTTTCTCGCAGAGGCCAACACGTCGAGATGGGAGCCACAGGAGAACAAGAGATCCCGCAGAAAAAACGGCATCTCTATGTCAACGGTCATAAAGAGACTTCTGTGCTGTCTGCGACGACGATAACCGAGCATGCGCTGCCGCGCGTGCCGTGAGGGCACGGGTGATTGCGTCCTGAGCGTACGAGGTGGAGGATGGGTGGTCTGATGAAAGCAGTGTGTCGAAGGGCAGTAAGGGATGACGTCCGAAGAGTAGATAAAAAGGGGAGTAGCCCGCTGTTTCATGACGCGACGAGTTATAGGCGAAGGTTACGAACGGAAGAGCTATGTCCCAATCAGTGTGATCGGTAGATACGTACATGGAAAGCATGTCCGTCAATGTGCGGTTTAGGCGCTCCGTAAGGCCGTTAGTCTGAGGGTGGTAAGATGTGGTGAAGTTGTGACGGGTAGCACAAGCTCGGAGAAGATCGTCAACCACAC